GGGGGGGTTGCGCCTCAGGCCAGGCCCGGTGCGTGCGGCCCGCAGCCGTCCCCGGGAGGACGTGAGCCCGCCGGCGATTCCCGCCCGCTCCCCCCGCGGCCGCCGGCCCTCCCCCTCACCTGCGGGCGGAGCGGGACGGGAGCGGGAGGCGCCGCTTCACCACAGGCCTGCCCGGCGGACGAGAAGCACCTCACGCAACGGCGTGCTCTGCCGCCGGCTAGATATATCCGGCGCGCAGCCTACCCCAGCGGGAGGCGGCTCAGCCAATCAGAGAACGGCGGTCGCCTTCACTCGGATGCTAGTTGGCCTACGGAGGGAAAAGAGGCGGGCGGAGAGCTGAGAGGCAGCTCAATCTACCAACCAAGCGGCCTGGCTCCGCGGGGCAGTGAGAGTGACCGGCACCTAGCACAACCAACGGGCCGTGGAGCTGCCCCCGTCGGGGTGGGACGAGACCTGATGGATTTCCCCCTTAGCCAATAGGACGACGGTACCCGCGCTCATAGGCGCGCGGGGCGGGCCAGGCCTGACGCCATAGTATGGTTGAGCCGCACAGCAGCGCCCTTGAGAAGGTGCTGGTAAACCCCGTTATAGATCAGGACGGCCTCCTCGGTGAGGCGCTGAGCGCCGCGGCCAATGGGAGAGCGCGGCGGGCCCTGACGGACAGGCCGCCTCTGGCGTTCTTAAAGGGACAGGCAGCCCGCCACGAGGGGCGGCGTTCCGCGCCCAGCACCACCCCCTGCTGGAGGGAGGGGACGGCGCCCAACATGGCGGCGGGGCCATGTGCCTTGGGCTGTGGTGCTGTGCGCTCAGGCCCTGCTGCTGCCTCCCCCGGCACGGGGGCACCCAGTCCCCGGTCCCCCACGGGTGAGGGCTGCAGACCCGTGAGGGTGAACGCAGCCTCGTCTGCACCACAGGTGCTCACCAGTCCTGGCACAACTGACCCACTCACCTGAGAGAAACCACCAGTGGGGGTGGATAAAGGGGCCTTTTCACGCTAAAGGGCTTCCGTGCAGGGCTGCAGCCAAGGCAGCCTCCACCAGAAAGAGGCCCAGCTGCTCACGTGAGGTGGAAGGTGGTGGTCACCATCAGCAGGCTAGAGAAACACGGGCTGGCTTCCCCTGCCCGTCCCCGGGAGACCCCCGGCAGAGCCAGGAGACTCCTGCAGCTGCTTTTCCTTCACGACTTCTAAGCAAAGCAGACAGAGGGATCATCTGCCCCAGAGGAAAGACAAGCCAAGCAAGGACATTTTCTAACCCACCTTGCAAGGCCCAAGTAGTCCTGCAAAGGAGAAGAAAGGCCTCAGAGTTCACACATCCTTCCTCACCAGCAGATGCTGGTCCAAGAGCCTGAGGAGAGCAGGAGGGAAAGGAAGCAGTCAGTCAGCCTGAGCCAGCCAGTTCCCAGAAGGCCACAGCTTTCCATTTGTTTGCATCGCTTCCCATCCCAAATGTATGACACGAAGCAGTCAGAGATATATTTCACCCTATAAAAGTGACTTCCTCCCCACTGCTGTATCCCTGAACGCTGCCTAAAACCCTCCCTGCTATGCCTTGCAGCTAGAGATACAGTCAGTGGACTGGCATGGGGCCATGCTCAGCATTAATATCCTTCCCCCCACGCCCCCCCGCTATTTATAGACTAAGCCACATTGCAATCTGCCAGTTCATAAATCAGTAGCGCAGACTTTCGCAAAGTTTAACATGAGACCAGTGACCTAACACAACAGCTGTCCAAAATAAACTCTGCCACGGGGACCCCAGGCATCTCTCCCCAGAGCAATAGGGGGACAGGTAATTCCTCTTTTATAAAAAGGTCAGTACAACAGGGTCCTAAGCACGTTAAAATCAATGCCCTCACTTCCCCCGTGCAACGGAAGCTCGCTAGGAAAGGCATTCGCATCATCTTTGGCTCAGTCTCCCTGGCAGGGGCTCAGCCTGTTCAGCACCAACTCAGTGAGAGGGAAAGGGTTAGCCAAGGCCAGCCGACATCCCAGGATGCAGCTCCAATTGGTGTGGTAGCAAATAACCAGAAACACCCCCATTATTTTTCCTGCTACAGGTTAGGCTTCTTAACAGGAAGATACCGAAGCTCAGCACGTGGTCAGGAAGTATCGCCCCCCACGCAGATCTGCCAGCTCTTCTCAGCCCTGACGTACTGCACCATCTCCTTTCCTGGTTACCCGCAGACTGCCAAAGCACCCAAGCTGCTCCCAGCCCCCACCACAGCCTCCTCCACTCAAGTTTTTAAGAAAGAGGCCCATTCTCCTTCAAAGGGCCAAACAGCCAGGGAAAACAAACAAACAAAAAAAACCACCACCCCAAAGCAGACACACAGAGATCTTCAGGGACCAGCATCCTTCCTCTCAACCTACTCTGAAGCAGAGACCCACCCCCAAACCTCCCTCATTCAATAATCCAGTTTACCAGAGCTCTCCTAAGCCAGTAAATCTCAAAACCTCAAAGGACAGAGAGGAACCAGCTTTCTGAAGCGGCCCAGCCAACCCTCACGCCTCCTGCCCCATCTTTATGACGCTTCCCACCTTCCTTCTGCAGCCAGTTTGTGCTGATCCTCAGCTTGTAAAGCAGGCAGCCAGAGGATCAGGCTGCTGGGCAGCTGTTAGGGATCCACACCGAGTACAAACTTTCTCCATCACTTTCTCCTTAACACTTTCTGGCATCTTATGCCTTCTGATTGCCTCAGCCTTAGTCCCATCTCGGGCTTCAACCTAACCCGGACGGCATCAGTCCAGCCACAGCCCCGGTGCATCTCCTCATGAGGAGTGGAAGCATTTTAGTATCAGAAAAAATGGAAGAGAAACATAACCGTGAGAAGTGGGGCTGCGTTTCAGCAACAAATACTCCTAAGAATTAAATCGCCATCCCCAAAAGGCTCCTAAAAGCCTTGGTCAGTGTTAAGAACAGGCCAAAGAGAGTCTGAACGCCAGTGTCCCACAGCCTAAGCCAGTTCACATCAGCGCAAACGAAAGCCACCGGCCCCAAACTCCTGGTGTGCCGAAACCTTCTCTGTGCGCCTGTCTCCGACCTCGCTGCCCTCCCTGGGCTTCTCTGCAGCTGACACCGGTTCCTGGCCCACGCGTGACTTTGCAAAACCTCCCGAAACCCCGTCTTCGGTGGAGATAAGGGCTTAGAGACAAAGACAGACGGCCGAAACCTGCCGGTGCGAGGTTCCCGGGGAGGCCGGGCGGTGTCTGCCCCGCCGCTGCCCTCGTCTACGGGACAGGACGAGGCCGGTTCCCCGGGGGGGCTGCGGCCG